AATGGGATCCATGGTTGTTTATTGCCTGTGCTAAATCTGGAGGCACGTGGGAGAGGCCATGCTGTGAACTGAGGATGGTTGCCATCAATACGAAGCCTGGGGTAACTCCCCCCAAAATCCAGGACACCCGGAGGCCTGCTGCCACCTGCCAGCTCCCTTAGGGTTTAGCCACTGTTAAAACCTCATGTGATATGTGAATTGGGTGAGGAAGGGCTTCAGGGAGTCACTAGAGTGGGAACAGGTTAACGTAGACTATGGTTTGGTGCCAGTGCTGAGCCTGAAGAGACTCAGCGAAAGTCTCAGAGCACACCGAGGCCAGTTGCTGCCTGCCTGGGGCCGGTGGGCTCAGATAGTTTTCCAAGAAAGAATGCAATGTGGGAGGGGCTGTCTGTTCATGGAGAAAGTTACTCCAGCTGTGCACAAGTTGGATGAGGCAGGATCCCAGATGAGTCAGCAGGGCGGAGCAGCGGCGCTCACCAGGCCAATCAGATTAGGATTTGGGCTGTGGGGCAGGCTCAACATAGGAAAGATGGCACCCACCTGCTGGAAGAAGACTCCCTCGCTGGGAAAATGCCGACTGTTCTTCAGCACTCCCCCTGAAGCCACACACCTCAGTCTGCACCCCCTGAATGTCTCCAAGGCCCCCCGAGTCACCGTCCCTCCGTTGGAGTTCAAGGTGAGTGCCTTTGAACGAGTGAATCTGAGTGCGGGCCATTTAAGAGGACATCTGGGTTTCCCGAAGGCTTCCATGCCACCCAAACAAGTAGGAATCCCCACTGTTTTTCACAGCCAGATGTGGGGGCTCCTCTTCCAGGCACTAGTACTCAGAGCTTGGGATCCTGATGTGCGGGGCTGGGGTCCCTCGCTCCTCCCTGGGAACCTCCATGGCCAAGATCTCCCTCCTGATTCTCAAATGCCACAGGGAAGTNTTATTAAGCTGCAGCTCCCACAGAGGCAAGTGGAATAGCCAGCAGTAGATGGACCTTGCATAGTGCATTATCTCCAGGGGACTTGGTTGGTTATTGTGATACCATCGTACTTAACTGGATAGGGTTTTGATACCAAAAAGCTAAGGCACCAGTCTCCAGAGCCATTCTACTAGTCTCAGGGATCATTCTTGTTGATGAATGAACATCCAAACCTATAGAAAATTTTTATAAGCAGTTATTTGAGCCAAGTTTTTGAGGCCATGCCCTGAAGCAAGATCTTAAGGATTGAGAAAATGCCCCAATGAATGGCAGTTTTGCAGTTCCTTTTATGTATTTAGAATCAAAGGAGAAAACATAAGGAAGGTACATGAAATCCGTCGGTGGTAGGTTAAAGAGGCAGGAGTAGGCAAAGCTGGAAAACCTCTAGGACTGGATAAAAAGCAAAATGGAGAAACACATTTTTCTTTTACATTGGTGGGTATAGGATTGTTAATAATTAACATTTACAGTACATAGAGATGCTATTTTGGGAACAGGATAGCAATGAAGGGTCCTGTGGTCTCATGCTCTGGTCCCTGCGGTTGTGCCTTCAAGGGGGTCTAGAAAAGAAAATGACGCTGACATTTCAAAGGTATGTTATTCTAGAAGCATAAGAACAATGGACAGAGCTCACTTAAGGTAAAGATTGACCTTTGCTAAGGAAGTGGGATGTGACTACCCACCATGACCTGCCCAGTTAGGAATTTGTGATCACACAGGATGCTGTGTGGTTACTTTGGGTCACTAGCTTGTCAGTTTACTACATAGCCCTTTTTTCATTCACATTCTCACCGTTGGGTTAGATGGGTAAGCTTGCAGACTTATTAAAATATTTTCCCCTTTTTCAAAGCCTCTCAACTGCCAGACTTGGCCAGCTTAGTGAATGGATTATTATACAT